TGAATTAAAACACTATAATACATCCACAACATGGTCGATATTTTATATGTTAAAAACAACTTTAAAAATCAAAAATAATATTAACATATCAAAAATCAAAAATATTATAAATTAGTTAGTTTTGTAAAAACAAGAGCAAGGGGTATAAGGCTAAAAACTCAAACATTTTCGAAAAAGATCACTTAATAACTTTTCCCAAAAAGGCTCCAGATTCAACTTTTCTAATGATTAAAGTAAGCATAATTTACAATAATTATTATAAGTATATTTAAATTATAAAGTATTTATATAATTTTTATAATAAAAACTGGTAGTGTTGTAATTTAGCACTCATTTTTATGGAAAAATTACAAATATAAATAATATAACAAAGAGTTATAGTGGCGCAGTGGTAAAATGCTTGTCTCCAGTGACGAAGATCCCGGGTTCAAATCCTCGCCAAGGAAACTTTTTTTCTGCTGAAGTGAGTAATAAAGTCATCAGTCATTAGATCAATTTTGTTTTCTTCCAGGTGACATTTATAATTGGCATTTCCGGCGCATGCCGAAGAGACTAATTGACAAATTTAAAATATGATAATATCGAAGACAAAGAAACAGTACTTATTATTAGAATTCCTGAAACTAAAAATGGGACGGGAAGAATTTCTACTATTTTAAATGCCACCAATTCAAAAATTGATAATTTATCTTATATTAAAAAATATGTCCCTTAAGACCTCCTATGATGGCGACTTCCAGATTCTTTTTGAAATATGGAAAAAGTAAGTGCACCAAACAGCCAGTAGGCATAAATACATTTAGCAAAATGCCATATATTATAGTAAATTATCTTCAATTGCCTAATCCGGCTATGTATACTGGACATTGTTTTAGGAGGTCATCAGCAACAAAGTTGGCAAATTCTTGAGGTGACCTTCAAACAGTTAAAAAACACGTAGATTCTACTTTAAGTAAAAGAAATAATGTATCTAAGTTAATATTAATGGATGCACATCACAAAATATTTCTAATGCGAATGAAATAGAAGATAACTCCCCTACAATTTCCACGCAAGTTAGCAACGTTATTGGCAATTCTTCATGTTATGAAGTAACTAACCTTAGCTGTAATAATTTAAACAACTTAAGTACCTAATGTGTATGTTGTTAGTAATGCTACGTCATCAGCTTCTGAAACCACAGTAAACTCTAGCATGAAGCAAGCTAAAAGATTAAGTTTTAACAAGTGCCCAAACTACACTTTACACAATAATATTGTTAATAATTAAATAACTTATATTCAATTCCATATTAATCTAGTTAATTCGTTTTATTATTAATAACTAAATAATAACATTTAAGTTTTAAGTTAATCTAGTAAATTTGTTTTAATTTTGTGAAAATATGTATATTACATTAGTTTAATTATATTTTATTACAAACCAAAGTGTTGTAGAACGAAAAATTAAACTTTCTTTACACACTAGTGCGTAAAGAATTATACTTTACGCACTAGTGTGTGAAGAAAATGTATTAAAACCTTCATTTTCTGATAAAACTTCCGGTAGTAGAAAAAATATTGTATGCAATTCGTGTGTAAAGTCCCTTTTTTGACGAATGTGAATAGTGTCGCACTTGTTGCATAAATAACTAAGGTAGGTGCGGTGAATATGCCCATGCAGGTAATATGCACACCCGCTGCCATTTTAAAAAGTTTAGCTTATATGCTAATAGAGGGCGACCAACGCGTTAAGATTTTGCACTTACAGCGGTACAAGTCAAATCAGTCTCTGCTAGTCTTTGCCCAGTGGCTGAAAATGAATCACCCGTTTTGAGCGCTGTCGAGTATAACAATAACACGTGTTTAAAAATAGTGTAAACTTTGTGTGTGTTTGTTTACAAAAATTGTAAGTAAAGCATTTTAAAGTACGTGTATTTACCATTTTCTTAGTATATAATTTTAATAAAAATACTTTGAAATTAACCTTCAAAACCTAAAAAAATACATAACCTTTCTCTGTTGCTAATACGCCCATCGTCATCGGAAGCAAATATGCCCATATGGGCATATTACCTTCGGTTCGTAGTGGAACGTTTATTATTAGTTTAAATTTTTGTTTTACAGATGTCACCTTATAAAACAAAAGGAATTCGGTCTCAGTGGACGGAGGAAAACCTTAAACGCGCCCTTAGAGCGGTAGAAAACGGAGAGTCGAAAAACTCAGCATCTAAGCAATATAAAATACCGCGAAGGACTCTTAAGCGTTATATTGACAAAAAGGCTAACGTAAAACAGCCACTTGGTAGAAAAAGTGTTCTGAATAAAGACCAAGAAACAGAATTAGCGGCCCGAATTATCAGGCTGGCGCAGGTGGGTTACCCACTTACAAAACGAATGCTTCGAAGATCTGTGTATCATTATTGTGAGCAAAAGGGTTTACCTAACATGTTCTCACAAGAAAAGCGTCTAGCTGGCCGTCACTGGTTAAAAGCATTTTTAAATAGACACCCAGAGATTTCTCCTAGACGGGCCCAGGGGTAGTATTCTCGAGTCACGAATATAGATTTGCATGCGAGATTTATGATTTGTCTCACTTGGTTTTCGTTCAACAAAGTGAGACACATTGTAAAACACGTATGCGAATATCGGTATTCGTGATTCGAGAATACTACCCCAGAACATGAACCCGGCGAGAGCACAAAAGCTCAACAAATATATTGTTTCCGATTACTTTGACAAGCTTAAAACAGTGCTTCTCGAACTGGACTTAATGGATAAACCTAAAAGAATTTATAATATGGATGAAAAGGGGTGCAGGTTAACATTACATAATCAGCAGACTATTCTAGCTAAAAAGGGCATAAAAAGGGTTCACCTAGTGGCACCAGAACACGCGGAAAATGTTACTGTCGTTGCTTGCGGTAACGCCAGTGGAGGAAGAATTCCCCCAGCCATTTTATTCAAAGGCATAAGGATGAAAAGCGAATGGAGTGACAACTTTCCACCCGGAACTCTAGTCCTCATGACGAAGAAAGCAAGCATGACAATTGAATCATTTAACGAATGGCTAAAGCACTTTGGCAAATATAAACTTCCAGGCAACTGCCTTTTAATCTTTGATGGCGCATCTTGCCATTTAGATCCTTCTATTGTTGAAACTGCAGACTCTTATGACATCACCCTTTTATGTCTCCCAAGTAATACGACACATGAACTGCAGCCAATGGACAAGGCTGTATTTAAATCTTTCGAACATCATTGGGATGAACAGGTACTTTTATACTGGACTCGCCACAAAGACCGAACTATAACCAAACAAAGGTTTGGGGAGCTCTTCTCTATCGTTTGGGACAAGTCAGTAACACCCCAAAATATAACATCAGGTTTCTCTGCTACGGGTATCTATCCGTACAATCCAGATGCTATTCCCGAAGTAGCTTTTGCTCCTAGCATTTTAACGGAACGAGATAATAACATGGAAGAAATTAACAGACAAGAAAGACAAGAGCTTAGAAGGGAAACCACACCCCAACCTGGACCCTCTGGATGTCAACAAAGGAATGACCGAAGCACCATAGAAAAAACTCCTCCGTCAAAGATCTCCAACTATCCTGAATATTTTGGACAAAAACGCCAGAGTAAGAGAAAACGGTCGTCATCAAGTAGCTCCTCATCAACAGATGATAATATGTCTTTATACAGCGAGACCTTAACAGAAACGTTCTCTTCGGAAGACGGGGCAAAACTTGATGACGAATCGGCAACATTGGATGACGAAGAGGCTAAAAGGCCGAACATCAGAGAACAAAGGGCGTTAAAGAATTTAAAAATGGACGCAGAAAACCAGAAGTCAATCAAAAACATCCACAGAAAAGATGAGGACCAAAAATCAAAGGACCCGCCTAAAGAGGAAGAAAATAACACAAAGACAAGAAACGATGCAGAAGAAAAGGTTTTAAACGTGAGTTTTACTGAAATGTTGGAGACACCATATAAAGATGTCCCAAAAACAACTAGAAAGAAAAAGCTATTAACAGCAAAGCGCTTATTGTGAAAAAGGCAGTTTTTCCCACCAAAACCACAAAAAAACTTACCAAACAAAAAAAAATCGTTTTAAAAGACGAAGATAAAGGAGAAAAAATAAAACCCAAAGAATCGTGGTACTGCAAAGCTTGTCAAGAAGACATAAAAAAAGATATGCGATTGTGCTCGATGTGTTTAGTTTACTTTCACGAAGAGTGCGTCGGGCTCACCAAAGGTGATAAGACAGTTTTTGTTTGTGGCTAAGGTTGTCAGAAATTTTACTGTCTACTTACCAGTGTAAAGTAATGTTTAGTTTTTCAGAAATATTTTAATTTTGGGTTTGTTTATTAGTTTGTTATCCTTATGCATTGTTTTTCCGAAAAAATATACTTAACCGACGAAGGTTGTATGCTTTTGTTAAAATAAAATAATGGGTATATTAGGAACATGATATGGGCATATTAGGATCACCCTATGGGCATATTAACGACAGGGTTAGTAATACGCCCAGTATGACGCGTTTTTAAAAAACGATATAAAAAAAATCTCAAAGAAAAAATCATCGATTTATGTCCAAACATTACTTCTTTGAGTTTAAAGGTACGCTTTCTATAAAAAATCGAATTGAAAGGTTTGTCGTTTCTAATTTTTATCAAGGATTCTGCTTAATATGGGCATATTCACTGCACATACCTTATTTAAAAATTAAAATACTTAACAAAACACCAAAGGAAATGTTGAAAGGAAATTAAAATTGTATTTATTTGATACATGGCCCTCTATTTAAAAATATCAATTAGTAGATTTAAATTTTAAAATCGCGTTATTAGCCAGGACAGTATTTGTTTTGTTTGGGGAAATGATTGCCCGTATTATTTGACAATGACTTCGAATATTTGGTAAAAATACAAAGCATTTTTAACAGTAGACAACTTTCTAAGACATACTGCATAATTAAAATATATATTTTATACAAAATAAAAAGATTGTACTTACTAGGTACGTACTAACTGGTACAACGATTTGTTCGTGCAGCTTATGCGTGAAACAATAACTGAATTCTTCAGAATTTATATTAATATTCACGTTTCTAACACCGCTTATGGTTCTTTGGGCTTCTTGGCTGCGATTCCATGTTTCGGTGTGGTTCCAATGAACCAAATCGGTCAGCGATGAAGTGTTTCTGCTAACGGGATACTCGATTTTTGGGTAAATGTTAGAAATTTTTATATCTATACCAGATAGATATATCCTAAAATCAAACAGGATATGTTAAACTTACCTAGCAGGGTGTTATCAAACCTCCTGCCATTGTTTTATAGACCAGCTGGGAGAAAGTAAAAACTTAAATGCCATTTTCTTAACATTACATTAACAATAACGACAAACATTTTAAGTTGCGCAATTTTCAATGTCTTAAAATAGAAAATTTAGTGAATATGTGTAATCCAATGTCGAAAAATTACTAGATTAAGCCTTTATTTACTTTAGACAGGCAGGGCTATCGCATCAGCTTCCGCATTAGAAAGAGCGAACCTACTAAATTGAGTAGAGTTTGTTTGCGAGTAAGCATTTTATGAATGAACCAGATCGTACAACTACGATTCCTGTTTTATCCCATTGCCACACTGTAAAATAAATGATGTACTCTGTAAATCACCATTAGCTACAATAGTAGTTGCAACCAGAAGAAGACATTAATGGCATAAAAAATGCAAGCATACTTAATGTAATTTTGAAAAACTTTTGTAAGTTTAAAGAGTCTTACTTTGAGTAAGTTCCGAATTATAACCATAAACAATCCTTGTAACAAGAGTCGCCCATAATAATTTGGTAATAATGCTTGCAAATTCGGTTTTTGTAAACAAAATTGATCTAATAGCTGTTCGGCGTATAACAACAAGAACAACAACAACAACAACAACAACAACAACAACAAATAACACGATACCTTTACCTTTATAAATTAATTCTGTATCTGTAAAGTGTGGGTGAAGAGCGGGTTGCCTCACTAAGCCCATTGTGCAATCTTCTAAATTGATAGGCCCGAAAACTCGCCGAACACATCTTCTATAGTAAATGAGAACGTCGCGCAGTCGAAGAGTAATGACGAAATAATTTAGTAGCTGCCTTGCAACTCTGCAGCTTCTTGTTTCATTTCATCTTCCCTTGAATTTTAGAAGGAAACGTTCTAGAAGTAGGTTTATTACGAACGATGATGACAGTTCAATGAAAGGGCCAGGCCCAAAATTATTTAGTTGGCTGCCTTATTAACTAGTGAATCGGCTAAACGGTTACTTTTCGATGTGGAGTAGCTTTTGATCCATCTTAAGGTGACTACATTCTAGTACTTACAACTTACGGTCATTCCAGAGTGAGTAGTGTTTGCCTACTATTTCTATAGATGTTCCACATGCCTTCTAGTGATATCATTTCTGGTCATTATTTTGCTGCTATAAGAATCCTCGTAAATTAAGATTGAACTACACTGGCACTATTGCTCACAGCCCATTTTATGTTTAGGTTTATAGATCTGGAGTATATTCCTCATCTTATGACTTGTTTTGTTTTAGAACCGTCGTCGGTCGGTGTAGATATGAATTGTACCTTCTGCTTCCGGCTCTTCTATTTCTTTCTTTATATCTTCATATGGCCTATGAAAGATATCTCGATAAGATGGAGCTCATGTTCGATGGAGCCCATGTTCTTTGGAGCAGTGGAAGCGCCTTTCGCCAAAACCGGCCCTCGTCACCAGATCCTACGTCATCTTCTATTCCAACCATGCGAACTAGTGTCATAAAGTAATAAATATCAAATAAAGGCGTGTGAAACCAAGAATTTCTTCCGTGACTCCGGTTGGTATAAATGAATAATTATTCGTTTTTGTGTTGTTGCGAGATTTATTTTTAAATAGTGATATTTAAGTAAATAATTTATTTTATTTTGCACTTTTAGAAAATGGTATTTATTTTTTTTTCTCTCGACCCAACTTCTGTATAAGATTGACAAGAAGTTTAGAACACCCTTTAAAAACTAAATTCATATTTTTTTTTTTAAATTCTCAAATATATTTCAGAAATAATTAGATCTTTAAAATGTTTTTTTTTTATTGGTGTCTTTGGTTTTGACATCATAGGTCATTAGTCTCGTATTCTGTGTAGGTTATAAATTATATTTTGTATTAGTAGTCTAATACTCCATAGTGCAGGAGTGCTACTACTCTAATACTCATGCAGAATTATTTTTAAATAAATAAATAAAATTAAATATTCCCGGCCCTCGGACTCTACCACTGAGCCACCCACCCCCCAAAAGATGTTTTTAAAATTGTTTTGAGATTTTTAAGACTGCTTTTTTGTTTTTATTTGAGATATTTGAGATAGATATTTGAGATATTTGAGATATTTGAGATATTTGAGATATTTGAGATATTTGAGATATTTGAGATATTTGAGATATTTGAGATATTTGAGATATTTGAGATATTTGAGATATTTGAGATATTTGAGATATTTGAGATATTTGAGATATTTGAGATATTTGAGATATTTGAGATATTTGAGATATTTGAGATATTTGAGATATTTGAGATATTTGAGATATTTGAGATATTTGAGATATTTGAGATATTTGAGATATTTGAGATATTTGAGATATTTGAGATATTTGAGATATTTGAGATATTTGAGATATTTGAGATATTTGAGATATTTGAGATATTTGAGATATTTGAGATATTTGAGATATTTGAGATATTTGAGATATTTGAGATATTTGAGATATTTGAGATATTTGAGATATTTGAGATATTTGAGATATTTGAGATATTTGAGATATTTGACATATTTGAGATATTTGAGATATTTGAGATATTTGAGATATTTGAGATATTTGAGATATTTGAGATATTTGGGATATTTGAGATATTTGAGATATTTGAGATATTTGAGATATTTGAGATATTTGAGATATTTGAGATATTTGAGATATTTGAGATATTTGAGATATTTGAGATATTTGAGATATTTGAGATATTTGAGATATTTGATATATTTGATATATTTGAGATATTTGAGATATTTGAGATATTTGAGATATTTGAGATATTTGAGATATTTGAGATATTTGAGATATTTGAGATATTTGAGATATTTGAGATATTTGAGATATTTGAGATATTTGAGATATTTGAGATATTTGAGATATTTGAAATATTTGAGATATTTGAGATATTTGAGATATTTGAGATATTTGAGATATTTGAGATATTTGAGATATTTGAGATATTTGAGATATTTGAGATATTTGAGATATTTGAGATATTTGAGATATTTGAGATATTTGAGATATTTGAGATATTTGAGATATTTGAGATATTTGAGATATTTGAGATATTTGAGATATTTGAGATATTTGAGATATTTGAGATATTTGAGATATTTGAGATATTTGAGATATTTGAGATATTTGAGATATTTGAGATATTTGAGATATTTGAGATATTTGAGATATTTGAGATATTTGAGATATTTGAGATATTTGAGATATTTGAGATATTTGAGATATTTGAGATATTTGAGATATTTGAGATATTTGAGATATTTGAGATATTTGAGATATTTGAGATATTTGAGATATTTGAGATATTTGAGATATTTGAGATATTTGAGATATTTGAGATATTTGAGATATTTGAGATATTTGAGATATTTGAGATATTTGAGATATTTGAGATATTTGAGATATTTGAGATATTTGAGATATTTGAGATATTTGAGATATTTGAGATATTTGAGATATTTGAGATATTTGAGATATTTGAGATATTTGAGATATTTGAGATATTTGAGATATTTGAGATATTTGAGATATTTAAGATATTTAAGATATTTAAGATATTTGAGATATTTGAGATATTTGAGATATTTGAGATATTTGAGATATTTGAGATATTTGAGATATTTGAGATATTTGAGATATTTGAGATATTTGAGATATTTGAGATATTTGAGATATTTGAGATATTTGAGATATTTGAGATATTTGAGATATTTGAGATATTTGAGATATTTGAGATATTTGAGATATTTGAGATATTTGAGATATTTGAGATATTTGAGATATTTGAGATATTTGAGATATTTGAGATATTTGAGATATTTGAGATATTTGAGATATTTGAGATATTTGAGATATTTGAGATATTTGAGATATTTGAGATATTTGAGATATTTGAGATATTTGAGATATTTGAGATATTTGAGATATTTGAGATATTTGAGATATTTGAGATATTTGAGATATTTGAGATATTTGAGATATTTGAGATATTTGAGATATTTGAGATATTTGAGATATTTGAGATATTTGAGATATTTGAGATATTTGAGATATTTGAGATATTTGAGATATTTGAGATATTTGAGATATTTGAGATATTTGAGATATTTGAGATATTTGAGATATTTGAGATATTTGAGATATTTGAGATATTTGAGATATTTGAGATATTTGAGATATTTGAGATATTTGAGATATTTGAGATATTTGAGATATTTGAGATATTTGAGATATTTGAGATATTTGAGATATTTGAGATATTTGAGATATTTGAGATATTTGAGATATTTGAGATATTTGAGATATTTGAGATATTTGAGATATTTGAGATATTTGAGATATTTGAGATATTTGAGATATTTGAGATATTTGAGATATTTGAGATATTTGAGATATTTGAGATATTTGAGATATTTGAGATATTTGAGATATTTGAGATATTTGAGATATTTGAGATATTTGAGATATTTGAGATATTTGAGATATTTGAGATATTTGAGATATTTGAGATATTTGAGATATTTGAGATATTTGAGATATTTGAGATATTTGAGATATTTGAGATATTTGAGATATTTGAGATATTTGAGATATTTGAGATATTTGAGATATTTGAGATATTTGAGATATTTGAGATATTTGAGATATTTGAGATATTTGAGATATTTGAGATATTTGAGATATTTGAGATATTTGAGATATTTGAGATATTTGAGATATTTGAGATATTTGAGATATTTGAGATATTTGAGATATTTGAGATATTTGAGATATTTGAGATATTTGAGATATTTGAGATATTTGAGATATTTGAGATATTTGAGATATTTGAGATATTTGAGATATTTGAGATATTTGAGATATTTGAGATATTTGAGATATTTGAGATATTTGAGATATTTGAGATATTTGAGATATTTGAGATATTTGAGATATTTGAGATATTTGAGATATTTGAGATATTTGAGATATTTGAGATATTTGAGATATTTGAGATATTTGAGATATTTGAGATATTTGAGATATTTGAGATATTTGAGATATTTGAGATATTTGAGATATTTGAGATATTTGAGATATTTGAGATATTTGAGATATTTGAGATATTTGAGATATTTGAGATATTTGAGATATTTGAGATATTTGAGATATTTGAGATATTTGAGATATTTGAGATATTTGAGATATTTGAGATATTTGAGATATTTGAGATATTTGAGATATTTGAGATATTTGAGATATTTGATCTTTGTTTTAGATTTTGGGACTTTTTTGTGTAAGATTTTTAATATTTTGTGAGAATTTATTGTTAGATCCTATGAATCAATATTGAGTGAGCTACAAAAAAAAATTTTCAAAGTAGGCCTTGGAAAAATCACGTATGTCAAAGCGTACAATTATTATTCATCTTCTTTCTGTATCTGTATCTGTAATGTGTTGAGGGTGGGGTACCCCACTGCACTTAGGCCTCATTGGGCCCATTGTGCATCCTCCTGAGAAGATAGGCACCTCCTAGCTCGTCAGCTAGGAGGTGGATCACTATAACAATTGTCGGTACTGTGTCAGATAATATGATTTCTTTTATAAAATTCTTCGAGATTTTTTATATTTTTTTAAGATTAATTACGTATTTTGAAGTTTTTATATTTTTGCACAATAAATTGATTAAACTTTTTTTGAGATTTTTGTGGCTTTTAGATTACATTTTTTGTAAAAATTCCAATAGGGCATTTTATTTCCACATGAATTTAATTAAAAATATTGTTGTTTTTCAAATCCAGGGTAGCTATAGAAATTTGACACATTTCACTATGAATTAGACATTTCAAATAAAGTGACTGTGGGTGGGAAGGGTTGTTATATCTAAATGGGTTGCTACGTACGATATATATTAGCTACAACACTTGAAATAAATCAAGTATTGGATTAAATTTGAATAAGTTAAACACAAAATTATTTTAAAAAAGCCGCCTATACATTTTTCATAAATTGGTAGGAGTGGCGACTGCTACTTCAAATAAAAGTAGGGTCCAAGATGGAAGGATATACGAGCTCTTTCTACCGCCAGCCATTCGCGATTTAAATTAATTTTCGCGCCTGTCATTCTTCAACTATAAGTTAGATATTTGTTTATTTACAACGTTACATTCTTTTTTATGAGCCGATTGCGAAGCAGTAAAACTTTGACAGTCACTAAATAGAGTGAACGCCGTTTGACTGGTTTAACTTTCATTTTAAATAAACTGAGCGGAATTATATAGGTTTTTAAAGTAAAATTTTAAAAATGATTAGCTTACTTTCCCAGACTGTTGAAGAAAAATTCACTTGAACTTTTGGCTCCCTTTTGAGTCAACGGAATACTAGTACATTCTTTTACGGATCGCTTTAAGATGGCTTGCAGCAATCCATGAGGCGCTATCTCGATTAATACTGAATCTTTAGGAATATGATTGATACCTTCTTCGAACAATACAGAACTCAACAGATTATTAGTATGGTATTCGGCCGAAGAATGTTTTGCCAAGTCCGTGTCCCAGTTAGCTTCGACGTTGGAAGTGCTAATCCATTTGGGCGATCTCGCTACCGGTTTAGGAATGACTTGTTTTAAATATTTCAGTAGCAGAGGGGCAGCAGGTTTGATGTAACGGCTGTGATAGGCGATGTTTGCGACGTTAACTAATCTCGCGAATACTCCTTGGTTTTGTAAATCTTTAACGAATCCTGCCATATCTTCAGCAGGACCGGATATGGTGCAACTTTCGGGTCCATTGCGGCAAGCTACTTCTATCGTCGGAGGAAGTTTGTTCTTTATTTGATTGTATCCAAGACCTAACAATGAAATTTTGTATTTAGTAATCATAGATGGAAAAGTTATTTCAGTTTGTTCAAAGAATTTGGCGTAGGACCGTATGGGAATATGTGGAATACTAAGAATGCAGAAATAAATTATTTACCTATAGCAGCCATCATTCCTGGTATTAGGGTCGCTTCTATAGATGCTCTTCCTCTGGAATACGAAGAAAGAATCATTTGCTCTGCTGTCATGCAACCGTCTGCATACGCACAACCTAATTCGCCTACAGAATGTCCAATAATTCCGTCTGGTACTATACCAAGAGCTCTTAGTACATCAGTTAAAGCAATCTAAAAACGCAGAGGTTTTAATTTGTAAATACACCCAATGCAAGTTATATAGGTTAAAGTAACTAAAAATATTTAAAAAAAAAACATCTTATAATGGTTTGACAAATATATGCTGAATGATTCTATAAAAGTTTAATTATGTTTCTGTAAAATTACCTGCATAGCTGCAATACCAACAAAACAGTTTAATATGTTATCGAAGATAGTTTTATCGGGGCTACTTAAAATTTTCATTAGGTCCACGTCTTTTTTTGCCAAGATATCGCAAGATCTTTTTATAGATTCGGCGAAAACGTCTATTTTCATTAAGTCTCCCAACATTCCGTTCCATTGACTACCCATACCGGAGTAAACAAACCAAACGGCTCTTTTATTTCCCATGTGATTCTGGAATAATAAATTTCGTTTTCAGAAAATAAATTAGGTAGTTATTTTTTTATTTGTTTTTCGTTTTTGTGCTTACAATAGTATCTTGCTTATTATCCTCTTGTCCCATCATTAGGTAACCACGATAGAGATGTCCCTGTATTGACTTAGAAAAAACATCTTGAACCAATTTGTTATATTCCACGTCTTTTGGCTTCTTCTTAAACTAAAATTAAAACAATATAATTATTCGTCGTTTTTTTATGAGATGGCATCTGACAAGAAAGTCGATTTACCACAGAATTTCAGAAAGTATAAATTTGATATGTCATCTATATTATTTTAAATAAATCTATTTTAGTATATTGAGTAAATTTAATAAAATTAGTTATCTAACTGATCTAAAAGAGAATAAAAATAGAGTAGAAGTGGGAGGGAAACTTATTTAAATCTTGATACAGAGGTAGTATTTGTATTACATTCTAAGAAAAAATTATTAATAACTGCTACAACATTTACATTCGAGTGGGTGTAAAAAATAATCGAAATTTCTAATTTCATATAAATGTTTAGGGAAAAGGCCATGGACAGTGACGGCTCGTGGTAATTTAAAATGAGTATTCCATTTTTTCAATCGATTAATCAAAAATAATCGAATAATCGAAAATAATCGAATAATCGAAAATAATCGTTTTATAAAAAATAATCGATTAATCGAGATTAATCGAGACTAATCGGTTAATTAAAAAGAATCTATAATTTTTAAGTAATCGATTAATCTAAAATAACCGATTATTTTAAATAATCGATAATCGAATATTTATTTTATTAATCACCCAGTCGTAGTTTTAACCTAACGTTTTTAGCAATCATTTTTAGCAAGAGAATTATTTAAATAGGAAGTTTTATTTGTGTAATTTGAATTTTTTATTAATTTATAGAAATCTACTAAAATCTGCCAAAGAGTTGTCTACTAAAACTAGCCAAACAAGCGGAAAATCTACCAGAAAGCTAGAAATCTATTAATTGTGGCAACGTTGGATCAAAGGTCTCCATTCATAAACAGTCGTCATGACTACCAACAAAAAATAAATGGTTAAATTTTCTTTATTATAGAAATACAGGACTAGGTCGTTTATTTTATTTGGTAAAATGATAAATAAAATATAAAATTCAAACTTACAGTTTCTAAAATGCTCAAAATGCCTTCTTCAGTTCTGGTAGAAGCAATGAGCAATATAGGCAAATCTATTGGTCGATTTACTTTTTTCTTTGGGTTGGCTTTTAGGACGATATGCCCCAAGTGAGAGCTAGTACTAAGAGCATTAACTGCCGCATACTTTGGTTCCCACTTTCTGTTGGTAGTGACCACTTCGATTGAACCGTTGTTCAAAGCTTTTATCTCCGGATTTGGTGTTTCGAATTGAAGGGTCGCTGGTATTTTATCGTTCTCCATGGCTATTATTGTTTTAATGATAGAAAACAGGGCTGATGTGGGTTCTGCGTGGCCTGTAATAGTTTTGACGGATCCAATCAACAGCGGATTCTTTCGATTTTTGCAGTATATTTTCTCTAATGCGTCCAATTCGTTTTTATCGGTATTCTACAAAAGCAATTAGATAATAATATATGCAAGAACACTTTTAAAAATATATCGGTTATATTCCGAAAACAAAGTAGGTGGTATTTGTTTGGAAATTCCTAAATAATTTTTTTTTAAATTACTTACCAAAAATTTAAAACTATATTTGAACTTTCAAAGTGAAAACAAATTAAAAAAACTCTGTTCCAGGAAGGATTCAAACCCTCCACTGTTATCTTCAAAAAATGCTCTCCTAGGTCGCCTATTTTGGTTAAGATTGCCTAAATACGTAACAACGTAAACACATGTAAGAATAACTCGGTTCCGGAAAACTATCAGGTAATTTTAAATTGTAGCCCAATTTAGTCAAAACCAATAATACTTAAATAAGTGTGACGTAATGACAGTTTACTTATAACAAAAACCAACTATTCTGCCATTGAACTTGAAATAAACTTTTTTTTGTTTAATTTCGTTTTAATATATTGCTTACAGGTTTAAAAAAAGTAGTTTAAAGGTATATCACCAAGTTGTTTTTAGTGTTTAAATCTCAACCTTACTCCTGAACACCTGCCTCTTCTTTTCCTATTTCTCAATCCGCCAACACCATTCTCATTCCCAAACCAGGCAAGGTTCTCAAATCTCTAGCCTCATACCGTCCCTCTTTCTTATATTAGTCTTGGTCTGCTCAAGGACAAAATCTGTGACTCTTGCGAAGAAAGAAACATCATTCCTCAATTCCCAGCAACTAACAACCTAGGACAGCCATTTACATCCCTAGGAAATACAAAGCACCCTCTCAATGCCGCAACTTTCAACCTCCGATTTACCTCAGTTAAATGGAATACCTCCCTTCTGACGCAACCACGCCACACCCAAGAAAAGAAATGGAGGATCTGATTGAATACTGCCTGAGCCAAAAGTTTGAACTGTAATAGGTTGCGATTTAAATGTTCATCACTTCAGTTGGGGCAGTAAGGATAACAACGTAATCCACTTTATGATTATATAATTACCAAAAATCTTTGTATTTTAAATAAAGGTACTGCACTAATATTTTTAAACTCTCGCAGTCAAAAACTAATAGATATCACTTTATTCACAACTCGTACCTATAAATCAATTCAAAACTGGCAAGTGTCTAATAACATTTCGACTTCAGACCACCGTTAGTTAACATTCTCAATAAACTTGATGTTGCCGACCTCCACGCTATTCCGGAACCCTTGGAAGACGAAAAAGGCAACCTATGCCCACCTTCTCCAAGATGCTCTGAGAGAAGTGGAGGCCGAAACACCAAATAATAACAATGCTTTGGAAAAGTACTCGAACACTTTCAAAAGCACAATAAACAATGCCTATAAGAAATCCTGCCTCCTGAGGCTAGTCCAACACGATCAGACGACTATCGCATGGTGGTGTCACGAGTTGGATCACCTCAGGAAGATGGCTAGAAAATCCGGAAGTAACCAGAAAACTCAAAGAGGACTGGGATACTTACAAATTGCACCTTTGAGAATACAAAAAAATCATTAGACAAAAACAGAGAGATGCATGTAGATTCAACTGCGAAGAAATCGAAGATTTCCCGCAGATAACAAGGCTTCTAAAGGCTATTTCAAGATATCCACTCTGCAGCACCTCAAAGATAGCATCAAACTTTTTGCTGTCAACACACTTTCCTGACTCGGTCATCACAGATGTGGATGAGTGGGCAGAGGAAGAATACAACATATCTGTCTAAGAATGAAAAACTACCAAACACATTGTAAACGAAGACAAAAGTAGATGGGTAATATCTAGCTTCGTTCCATTTAATTCACCAAGACCTGACGGTATCTATTCAGCCTTACTTCAGTGGGGTCTAGAAGAACTCACACTGCACCTAGTAGGCATATTCAGATCCTAGTTGGCTCTAAGGTATAGCCCCAAAAAATGGAAAAAGGTAAAAGTGATATTCATACCCAAACCTGGAAGGATAGATTACACTGTCCCAAAAACATACCAACCAATTATTCATGAAGACATTGAAAAGGCTATGCGAAATGTACATAAGTGATATAGTGATTACAACACCACTACAACCAAATCAATAAGCATACACCCCAGGCAGATCCACTAATTGAGCCCTTTTTCTAGATGCTCGCCGGATAGAGAGATCCCTGGACAATAAGGAGTCAGCCTTAATCAAGATAATTCACATACTAACTAACAGGAACGTTTCACAGATATTTAGTGGGGAATAGATAATCGCAAACGTAGCAGTAAACATAAGTGTAGAAGATGCGAATATAAACTGCTTGGTTGCAAGGGGATGTCCAGAGGGAGGGATTCTATCACCTCTACTGTGGAACATGGCCCTCCACACCCTCAGCAGCCGCCTCAATACTGACAGTCACTACACAATAGCAGGGAATTTTGAAAACATACTCTGCGAAAAGTGGCTCTCAAAATTATAGAGCAGTGCTGCAAGGACCATTCACTTTCTATCAATCCCAAGAAGACAGAAATTGTCCTTTTCAAAATTATGAAAATGAAATTAAAATCTCTAGCGCTACTAAACCAAAGACTAAACTTTGAAATATAAGTGAAACACCTAGGTCTCAGCAAGTTAACATGAAACTCACACTTGAAAAACAGAGTCAAAAGGGGATACTTTGCTCATGAACAATGCCGTCAAACTGTGAGGCGCACCTGGAGTTTCTCCCCCACAGTCTTTGCAAGGACCTACACGGCCATCATAAGACCTATGCTAACATACAGTACAGCTAGCTATCCGCAAACTAGAAAAAATTTAAAAAACAGCATGTCTCAACATAAAGAGGAGCAATGAAAACCACACCGAGCAGAGTCATGGAAGTCAGTCTTAGTCTTAGGCCACTTGATATTTACATTAAGGAAATTTCTCTGATGACAACGATATGCCTTCGCATGGTTGGAATAGAACCTGATATAGGATCTGTTGAGGCACGACGTCGCTTTTGGCAGGAGGCATTCGATACGCTCCCAATGCTTCAAGCAAACATGGACTCTATCTCACCAAAATATATCTTTCGTAAGCCATATAAAGTTATAACAGAACAAATAGAAGAGCCGGAAATGGCAGGTACGAGTCATATCTACACCGATGGTTCCAAAACAAAGCAGAGCTCAGGATGTAGAATATACTCGAGGTCATTAAACCTAAACATAAAATGGGCTGTGAGCAATAGTGTAATTCAAACAGAGTTCACAGGTCTTCTCATAGCCGCAAAATTACCAGAAAAAATGTCACTGGAAGGAACATGCTCATCTATACAGATAGCAGATAAGCACTACTCTCCCTAAACAGACCACGAATTTACTTAGGATTAGTATTAAAATTTCACAAAGCTTTGGGAAGTATCCATCAACAATGTGTTCATCTTAAGATGGATCAAAGGTCACGCCACATCGAAAGGTAACTGTCTTGTTGATTGACTAGCCAAGAAGGCAGCCAACCAAATATTTTTTGGACCTGGCTTGACAAAATTGACTATAAAAAATCTGCGGTTGGTCACAGACAATCTGACTGGTCATTGCCAAGTACAGAAAGAAGCATTTCCATATCATGTGGCTGTCAGAATCCACACTATGTAGGCTAGTGTCGGCTAACACCAGCCCATATAAGAGAAGATCCTCTTGGCAACCTTGTCAACTACATTAAATCTGTAGGCTCGCTCATGAGCTAGGAGGTGCCTGGTATCTTATAAGGATGTACAATGGGCCTAGTGAGATCTAAGGGACGTGGGTTAACCCTCCTTCCACACCTTACAGATACAGATACAGTTTAAGATCTCATTAGACAAGACGCAATATCCTCGGCTGTTTTTGACCCAGTCTGGCATTCTAGACTTGCTAAAGAGCTTATAAACATAGGTCTTTCCCTCAACATCTCCAAACTAATACACGAATTCCTCACTAACAGAAGTATCATAGTCAAAATAGGCAACGCCCTGTCAGATCATTTCTTTCCGCTACTGTAGTACCACAGTATTCCATCCTGACTTCTCTCTTATACCTCATATACACCCAAGACCTTGTTCCTCAAACCACTCATCATCTAAATGTCTTCTCTATGCCGATGTTACTACTCTGCTCTCTATAGTTTAAAATTCTGTCCAACTAGGTATCCGAACCCAAAATCTGGCTAACCGGTACTTTTACTGATTTAACAAGTAGGGAATCTCACTCAATTCACAAAAAAAAATATATTTTTAAGCATCTTTACTTACAAAAATCCACCGAGCTTCCCAGAACCTTAATGTAAATCTCCTGGGAGTCAGACTCGCCCAACTGGGAATGCGATTCGGTCACACTCTCAACTGGTTTTAGCTTGGCTCCTTATAGCTCTGTATGGATGATTTGGACGTTGAAATTCAAACATACTAATTAATACAATTTCTATATCCGCCCAGTTGCCGATTACAAACAGTACTATACGACGTATTTCCAACATATTTAGCCCATAAACACTCGAGAACGTTATCCTCCTAGGATACCAATATCTACCTTATCTCTCCCCCACAGGAGAAGTTTTCAAAAACATCTCCATTCTCTCTTGTCTTCAAACTCTTAGGAACTAATACGTCTCTCGTACTCTGAAAGACTCAAACATACGCTCCCATTAACAGAGTTCACATACACTCGATCAAGATTTGATGAGAAAATCAGCAAACTCACTTTGTAATCCACGACTTTCGAGTCGTTTTTTTTTAAATACTTTTAAAACTTGGTAAATATTAAAAAGATTAAATTATAAATATTTTATAGTTATTTTTAGAGAAAATTTGGGTAATATTCTACGTTCTACTGATTGTGGTAGGCTTGTTTTGGTTCTTTCACGAACTAATTCAGAATCAGTAAATTACACTCATTCACCTCAATAGGTTGATTATTATCGCGACGTATTCTTGAAAAATGAATTGGTCAACCGTATTTGAGAACTGGAATTGTTGGTTCTGTCTGAACCAAAACAAACCCCATAAAAGGGAATATTTATCTTTTAAATTTCCCAAAAGGTAATTTACAACAATGTACTTCGCATATATATTGACGAAATTATTAATGGACATCGTAATCTTTCTAGATTAACAATGTCTGACAAATTTATTGATGCAGTAATTTCTTGGACAGACACTGAATCGAAAAATTCAAGTTATTCCACCGGCATTGCTCTAGAAGCTATTTATTGAGACGGTGGTGTAGCGGTCTATCGCGCTTATATTCATTTATAGGCAAGTTTATGAGTCTGAGACTGCTGGGTTTCGAATCCCAGCCCGGACCATGTGGATTTTTAATTAAATTGCATGGTTCGGTTTAGGACTTGATGTGTGGCGTATTAATAGAAATTCAATTTCTGTTGATATGACATGCAGATTAAAAAAATTCGCCATACATTACCGTCTCGATGATGGTGAGTGAGGTTTTCCGGGTTTTCCTCACCTGTAAGTCAAATGGCACCATCAATCATCTTTAAGTCGCCCCGGAGCGCCACGGCAAATAATAATAATAGCCGTCCCTTCCCCTACAAAAGTCGTTCAGTCGACTTCAGGGGTTGAAATTCACTCGTAAGGGGGTGAATTAGGGAGAGTATTATTATTATTATTATTATTATTATTATTATTATTAATTTGTAGAGAAGAAATCTGTAGAAGTGATTAAAAATAATACGTAAATGTAAATATGTCTTATTATGATTTTTGAATTAGTAATAACTGTTTTTAAAAAATGTTTTAGAGAACACAAGATATTTTCAAGATACTACAATGAAATATTTGAAAAAACTATATTTTTATTTTGTATATATATAAAATTATAAAAAAAATCCTTTGGATTTTTAATGAAAAAAAACTACTTTATACATCAATGGAGGACCAATCGAGTATATATTAGCCTAAACAAAGCTTATATTAAACGATGCCCGTTACCTATTTCTTGTGTTTATCTGAAGTCCTGATAGCCGAGTTCTTAAGGCAGAGTGCGCAGAAAGCAAATGTGAAGGGTTCGAATCCTATCCGGGATAGAGTTCCTTAATTTGAAAAATTTACTTGGGAATTTCCACTTTTTATACGAACCCAGTTTTGGTTTAATGTTACATTTTAAACCTTAAAAATAACTATTCACGACTAATGAGACAGTATTTTGCATCTACGCGTATATACTTCACTTTATCATTTTATTGCGTATATAAGAAAAAATATTAGTTTGTAGTATGGCGTCTCGTTAATCGTGAATTACCCTATATTAGAGGCAATTTACTTTGTTAGCACATCCGTAGGCCTCAACGAAATCTATTTCTTCTGGTTTGACTTTGGAATGTTTGTAGAAGTCTTCTAAAAATTCAAGCATGCTTTCTGTTTCAATGTTCAAGAAACCATTAGGAGATGTTCCGTCGAATTTACAAGCAACGTGGACGATACTGGCATAATGTCTGCGTGCTTCGGAAGCTCTTTGGACGTACATGAGTACTACTCCTTCACTACGGGCATATCCAGATGCTACAAAGTTTTATAGTATTTAAAAAATTGTGAAATATAATTGTAGAATTACAGTACTTACCATTTGCATCGAATGCTTTCGTGCTTCCATCTAGTGAGATGAGTCCCATTTCATTGTACATATGCTGAAATTCGTCGTGTTGCGCTAAATTGGCAGCTCCAACGATGACAGAATCGCATTGACCCGTTTTAATGGCATAAAAAGCCAACCTAAGTACCTCAATACCTGTTACCCAATTGGCGTCGTAGGCAATACTTGGACCTGCAATTAAAAATCTTTCATGCTTCATTTATATAAGTGGGTAGAGTCTGTTCAAAATTATATTATCGTAACCTATTAACTTGTGCAATAACAAACAATAGGAGCGCTACCGAAAACCACCAGAAAGTGATGTTGATAGGCTAGTAGCATAGAAGAACTGTTGACACTAACAGACTAAAATAGAATAAAACTAAGGTCATCAAGAGATAGAGAGTAATGAAAAGGCTGACGAACTGCAAAATTAGGGTCAGAAGGAACACCTGAATCAGATATAAACCTTGAAGTACCTAAAACTATAGTAGGAGGTTTCATAAAAGACTAGGTTCGGAGAAAATATAACAATTATTGGGAGAATGTTCCAGGAGAAGTACATGGCAAAATCTTCATAGAAAGGCCATGTTAAAAAAAAAAAACTGGAGAACTACTCTCTATGAAAAGGACTCATGATTGCGCATGCAGTAAAGTGACACCTAAAGACAATACTGTACACTACATCACAAGGAACCAAAAACAGTCAACCGTTAACTGAGTAACTGCGAAACATTTAAAGGGGTTAGAACCATAACGATATAAGTGACATGAAGGTGATTTCCAGATATTCCACTTTAAAGTATTTTGATAATTGTGAAATATTGGCGCAGTCAACTTTCATTGTTTTTGGATAGATTACTCGTAATAAATGTTATACGATTTATGATTAATATGTCCCATTAATTAGTTACTAGCATTATCCAAAAAATCACTTATACCCTTTTGCTTATCAAAAAATCTTCAAAAAATCACCTATACCCTTTTGCTTATTAATGATTATAAGAAAATATCTGGTACGGCTTTATTTGCAAGTTACAAAAAAAAATGTTATAAAGAAACTATTAAAATATCAAAATTCATTCTTGATCACTCTCAATTATGTCACTTATATCGGCGATGTCATCAGGATCGTCAGAAGCACTTTTTTGATTGGTCCTTCTCCAGATGAAGAATCATTCTGTAGAAGTCATGGTGGATAGGTGGTATAAATGGTAGTAACTGTTTCAAGTCATTCCATTTAGCAAAAGTAATTTCTTGCACTGGAGTAGTGTCATTAGTCTTTTTTCACCGGCTATAATGGTGGCCCTTGTTATACCTACCTTTGCACATTTCTCGGAGCGAGAAAAAAGAAAATCAGCATTCAAAGTTTCTTTGAAGGCAAAATTTAAAAAATGTTCCTTGTCATACCGAAACCATACAACTGGTCGCAGTTTTAGGGGTTCAAAAGTTTTTTTCTTTGATGCTTTTTTTGAAGTTCTTGATGCTGGCAAAACTTGTGAGTCTTCTTGTATAGCAGTTGCTACTTCTTGATCGGTAAATTTGGGATATTTCATAGATTTGTTGAGAAACTGGAAAGAGATAAATGACTCCCTATCCATATCACAAACATTGAAATTTTTGGACGTTCTTCTAATAATCTGACTCCAGTCACTGGGAACGAATACATGAGAAATCTGTTTCTTTTTTAACTCTATTAAGCCAAACGATCTGTCACATTCCATGTACGAATGTCCTGTCACGAAAAATTTATGTTCTATTGTCTCTATTTTCTTATTCTTTTGTACTAGGTACATGAAAAGCTTAATTAAATTTTAATTTTTGTTCTGACCCCCACAAGAATTACTGTAAAATATTATGTGATTAACTGTTTCTGGAAGAGATTCAATAAATTTATACAAACATGAAGCTACTTCTCTTGAACCACGGGAGGCTATCGTCTCATTCCAGACATACATATTAGATATTTTTGAAGTACAATCATAAATGCATAGATTGTAGGTCCACAACTGCCTAAGGTAATAAATTTTATTTGTTTGGAGCAGGGGAGTAGGAAGTGTTTGTTGTGAGTCGAAACACAAAACGCGGCAGTTTGTGTTTTGTTTAGCGTAGCTGATGTCTTTTTCTTTACTTCTAGCCACATTTTCTGCTTTTCGATGATGAACTTTTAATTCTGTCTTTAGAGTCTTACGAAGATTCTCGTCATCTACAAATTTTATTTGGTTGTTTAAGCGGTCACAGGTATTACAGGTGTCAGTATGCGGTTTATGAAATTTTAAATTAAATTCGGTACAAAAGACATGCCTGTAGTAAGATTCTTTTACCGGAGTTATTTCTCTTTCGGTACACCATTCGCAATATAGTCTGTACAGTACAGAAATATTGAGTGTCTCCGACAAATATCTCGTGTTCTCGTTTTGAGCTCTCGAATAATGACTCTTGTATCTAGGGAACTGATTAATGTGAGCCACAACTTCATTTTTCTTTTCGATTGGAAGTTTATTTCCAGGTGGAGGTTTGCCAAATTTATCCAGTTCGACAAAACCTTCTTGTGAAATTTTATTTGAAACAGTTGCAAATCGTCTATTTGAAATATCTGTTTTTAGAAAAATTCTTTGCACACTCGATAATTACAAAGACTTATCTTAGTCACAAAGCTTTTAGTCGTAACTGCTCCTTGATTTCTGCGTGTTGGCGCTTTTTTAGAGATACAGCTTCCAATGAAATTACTTTGTAAATCGTAGCTTGGTAGTTCATAGAACTTTTTAAACACATTTTTTCGTTCGTCTTCAGTAATTTTGTTACAGTCATATCTGCAAGTATAGTGATACTCACGTAACCTGCGAGCTGGTACGAGTTTTCCACGAGTATTTGTATATTCTTTCCCTTTACCACACAATGTTTTTCTTTTTACTTTTTCCCACACTTTCGTTTCCACCTTGCGCTTTCTTGTCCTTCTAGGACTACTATAAACTGGGATATGTGCATCATTTTCTATTTCGTAATCAAACACCTCGTCTGGTACGATTTCATCGTCAGTACTCAAATCCCTCTATGAATCATTTAATTCCTCAGGATTGTAGTCACTATCTGCGTCAGTAGCATATGGATCTTCTTCACTACCAATATCACTACATGCATCTTTTTCAGTACTGCAACTCGCTAAAACAAAAAATATGCTTCAATATAGGCATGTATTTTTTGGTTAGAATAATGAAAAAACCTAGTAAAAATCTTAAAAACGATATTTTTTTTAATTTTTTTTTACAAAAATTCTAGACAAACTTACCCATTTTATTGCACCAATAGCACAGTCACAATATGTCTAAGTAAAATACAAATCCACGAATGAAAATAATCACACAATCTTGTTGTACCAAGTTCTTTATTGTAGAACGTACTTAATATAATTCAGTAACAAAACGGTACAAGTGCGCTTATACCTAATTGCCACAAAGAGATCTACATAAATATTTTAGTAAGTCATGGTCACACACCAATAGATGTCGCAAAGTGTATTAAAATCGCTTGTATCGATATGCCACTAAAATTATATACCATTTAATATACCAAATATTATTATGTACTTAACTCAAATTGAGCAACAATGTCACTTATACCATTATGGTTCTAACCCCTTCATTTGATCGTAAAAGACAGGAACAAATTAATCCAAGGGCCAATAGAACACACTCGATTTTTTAGTAGTGAGTAAGTTTGCAAGGTATTCCACAGATGCATTTTTTAATTACGTATTTCTATTAACCGCCCCAAAAAAAATTTGGGATCTAAAATCGTCCTTTCGGTACCTAACTGTCTTTTTATTTATTTGACATTCAAATTGATACTCCAAATAAATGGCAACGCTTTTAACTAAATAAAAAATTGAATTTATTTTTTTAAAGTATTTTTGTTTTTAATAAAGAATAGTTATTGTTCTGTCAATACAAAATAATATTTAATAAACTAAACTATCTTGTCTCGCATAGACGTAATCATTTCGGTAACACTTCTAAAGTCACCGAGTACGATTCACCAAATATCAAAATATGGAAGTGACGCGCACCATTAAAAGAAAACTTTTATTTAGTGAGGTTACCAAAAATCATTTAGTTTAAAATTCAAGCCAGCTTTCTTAAAAAAAAACAGACAAAACAAGTCTATCGAAAGTCATTAGTGGTAAAATTCTTAAACGTTACAAAATGATTGGAGACGTTAAAAAGGCAGTTTCTTATAAATTGAATTTGTCCAAATATGAAAGGAAGAAACGAAATGGTACTATAATGGAAGGCCTTAGAAAAAGCATAGACGACTATTTAGAAAATTCTGAAAATTCGAAAATGAAAGATAGATTTTGTCATTAAAGGAAAACTTAAAAAGCAGAAGAGGCTACTACTGTTGGATTTAATAAAGAACCTTCATAAAAATATCTACAAACGAGCCGTCCTTACAACATTTTGGAGAAATCGACCTATCTAGATAGTTCCGCCAAACCAATCTGACGAGAAACATGTGCGTGCATCAAACATTCTAATATCGAGCTACTAGTTTCGCTAATTTATACCTAAATGAAACTACACCTTTTCCAATTGTAGTTCAAAAATCGTCACGTTAATTTCGAAAAGTATCAATTGCATTTCGAATTAGTTAATTTAATTTAAAAAAGTATCAAATGTATTTCGAAATTAGCAATTTAATTTTAAAATGGGTCAATTGTATTTCAAATTAGTCAATTTATTCTAAAAAAGTAACAAATGTATTTTGAAGTTATCAATTTAATTTCAAATGTCAAATATATTTCAAATTTGTCATATGTTTTCCAAAAAATTCCATTTTTATATCAAAATTCATTATTTTATTTTCAAAAATTATCATTTTTATTTCCAAATTAATCTACATAATCCTATTAGAATATACTACAGTATACGTGAACACTCCATACTTAAAATTATAACTATTTTTTTGAATATACAACAAACAATTTTAAACGAAATGCTATTGTCCAACAGGCATATCTTCTATTGCTAAAGCTGGTCCGTGAAAAGTCGAGAAGTGTTGTACCGCTAGAGCACAATCACCTCCTATAATCGTGTTTTTCCCTTCGTCTACAATATTTTCCAAGTAAACCAGCCTTTGTTTTATAACTCCAGGAGCAACGACATCTGAAATGACCATGATATTCTTCACGAAGC